AGCCTCTGGCTTTCTGTGGAAACAAAAGCAGAGCCTCCTTTCCAAAGCAACATATCCTTATATCCAAATTTTAAAGTCAAGGTACCTTTAAAATATACATTTTGGCATAACTCAACAGCTTTTGCAATCAAATGTTTTTCTTCAGTTACTAATATCAAAGAGAACATAATCCAGATTCTCTGTGTGGTAGCCATCTTTACGTGGCTTATTTTTTTATATTGGCTTGAGCCTATTGTTTTAAACTGTAGCCTTCTAAGCCTGAAACGGCACTGGCAATATGGCTGCTGGCTCCGCCCACTTCAGCTTCCCAACATGGCGGTAGTACATTTTCCGCCAGCTCTGGGAGCCATCAACTCTCAGAAATAGTGGGTCTATGTTTCTATCAAAGCAGCGTGCAGCCCAGAAACCTCTTTTTTTTTGTTTTTTTTGTTTTGTACTAGCAAAGGTTAAATCTACCACACAGCTTAATGTGTCACTTGCAGAGGCCTCATTCCCGCCATACTGCAGGTCGAGCATGCACGCCAGGAACCCGCCATAGTAGCTCAAACACGCAGGCTGCCGCTAGCTTAAAAGAGACAACTAGGAGCTGTTTTTAGCTCCGTTTTAGAATCTTTTTACTCAGGTTTTAGGTGGAAACTCTTGCCCCACGTTGGGCGCCATTTGTAGCTTGAGTTTTCCTGACTGGCCCACAGTCAGGACAAATCTCTGCCACCCGCCAGTCCCACAACCGCTCAGACCCGACCAAGTAAACATAGAGACTTATATTGGTTTCAAACTGTATGGCCGTGGCAGGCTTCTTGTTAACTGTTCTTACAGCTTAAGTTAATCTATTTCTATTAATCTATACCTTGCCACGTGGCTTGTGGCTTACCGGTCCTTTACCTCTTCCTTGTCCTGATGGCGGCTGGCAGTGTCTCCCTCACTCAGCCTTCCACTTCCCAGTTTTTTCTCCTCCTTGTCCCGCCTAGACTTCCTGCCTGGCCACTGACCAATCAGTGATTTATTCATTGACCAATCAGCAACACATTTGACATACAGACCATCCCACAGCACTTATCCATATTACCAAAACTTTATAAGCAGCCCTTCCTTGTCCGAGTGGCACAGGGAGGTATAATTCTCTGTGGGATAATAGAATGGCTGCCCTACCATATCCTATCTGCACACCCTGAATGAAGTTGAAGAGCACTGAGGAAGAGTAAAAGTCAACCCTGGGGCTCTGTCTAGGGAGATGGCTACTGTGTTTTAGGTAGCAAGTACCTCATATCCTTTTCAGCATGCACAGCCTGTGGAATATGGGCCAGTGTTTAATGTCTCCATGCTTTACAGAGAATAATGGCTTTATGCAAAGTGTAAAAAAATAATGAAATTACCAACTATATAGTTTTTTTCTGCAGAAAAGAAAAACAGTTGTAAGTATTGTTATAGAACAGGTAGCCATAAGCTATACCCTTCCACTGCTTTCAGTTCATAAAGTTTTTTTCATTATAGCCATATCCATTCATTTCACATGCTCTATGACTATTTACTATGATGGCAGAATGGAATAGTGATAGTAATCTCCCACAAAGTCTGAAATATCGATACTCTGGCTGTTTACGGAAGAAAGTGTCCCAGCTCTCATTAGAGGTTTCCAGTGACAGCCACCATGATCATAAGGAATGAGGCCACTAAACAAATGAGGTAAGGCATTTGCATTGTCTTACAGTCAACAGGTGAGAAGAAGGGGTTGTGAGTGAATGAATAGTGCTCTTTGATGTACAGCCTCATTTTTCTTAAACTCTTGTCATATTAAGAACCCAGCATGCTTGAATAGTTTTTCCAGTGCAGTCCATGTCTTATCTACAGGGTTATGCTGTCTGCTTGTCAGTCAGCTGTCTGCAACACACCCAGGCCAGGTCCCTTGTGAGGAAAAGATGTTGGTTGCTCTAACCATTCCTTTATTATATTATTATTATTATTATTATTATTATTATTATTATTATTATTATTATTATTATTATTATTATCCCTGGCATTCCTACCCATCTTTGCTTGATTATGGAACTCAGTGGTGTGTTAGGCTATTCCTAATCAGGAGGATGGGAAGGGAGACTCAACAGCAGGGCATAGAAGAGTATATTTTTTGTTTGTTTGTTTGTGTTGGACTTAAAAGATTTCCATCACACCCCCAGGCTGAAGGCAGCCTGCACCCTCACAAAAGTAGGTGTACTTTCTGACTGAACTTAAAGTTGAGCTCACCTAGGGGTATGATCAGGAAGTGCTTTGAGTTTGAAGTCCCTGTGGGCTGGACAGACTATTTTTTTGTGGGATAATTGGAAGGATTAAAATAAACTGTATTTGAGCCAAAACGTCCCAAGGGGTGACACCTAACAAGTCACAAGTATCATGCTGAAGAGTTCTTAAGAAGAGACAAATATTTTGATGGTATTTATACTACCTGTTAACAGGGAGAGCGAACACATTTGAAGGAATTGGGTCTTGGGATCAGAAGATGACAAGATAGGTCTATAGATATCATCTAACCATCTCTGCATGATGTAAAATAGCAGCCCAGAAAGGAGAGGAGACCTATGCCACATCATCTAACCAGTCACAGACCATTTTGACCTTCTAGAAGATGGAACAGAGCACACCTCAAACCTGTAGGATATCTTGATATTTTTGTTGGGAGCCTGTGAGTACTTTTCTGTATTTTGAGAAGCCATGCCTATATGTTTTCATGGTAAGATAAGTTATTAAGCTAAAATGTCAGGCTTTATTATTCTGGTTGGAAATATATTACCGTAGTATGTTAACACTGGTTATTTTATAAAAAGCTGCCAATCAGAATTGTCGAACTGTATGTGTGTGAACATACACACATACAAGTCTGCCAATCAGAGCTTATTATATACATATAATCAGTGTCTTTATATAAAAGCCTGCCAATCAGAGCTTATTTATAAACATATATTGTGTAGCTTATTTATAATTAAAGCAGAGCACTAATTCAATTCATACTCAATGTTGTAGGGTTTATAAACATTTTTTTTAAATATGGCATTTATAAGGGGATGTGTAATAAAGGGGATTCTGGTATAGAAATCACTGGAAACTATTGATCTAGTTCAGGAGTTCACAGACTAAAGCAAGCCTACTATATTTTGTTTGCTGACTGTTTTTATAAATAAAGTTTTATTAGGATGCAGTGTTGCCAATGGCTGCTCTATTGTTCCATGATAGAGTTCAGAATATGTGACAGTTTACACAATCCTTTCACTCTCAGGCTCCTTCCAGAAAAGGCACAATTCTGATGTAGTCTAGCCCTCTAATTTCAGATAATGAAATCCATGAGGAGGTGCAGTGACCTGCCCAGCACACATAGAAGGACCTGAGAAAGTGAAAATTGAGCCATGTGCTCAGTTTCTCTCTTTGATTTCACATCCTGTACCACATTATACTTCACATGCTACTCAAGGTTCTACTTTTCCCATCACCTGTTAAGGTCTGGGTATGCAATGTACCTCACCACCTCTTGGGATGAATGCTGGTTCTTCAGGTAGGGGTGCTATTTTGGGAGGTTCTGGAAACATTAGGAGGTGGAGCCTTGTTGGAGGAGGTAGGAGATTGGGGACAGGTCCTTAGAGGCATTTTGTCACTCACCCATTTTGTCACTCACCCCTCCCTGTCTCTTTCTGTTGGCTTCTTATCTGCTAAAAAGTGGAAAGCTCTGTCACATTCTCCTATTACTAAACTCTGTCCGTTGAAGCGCAGGTGGCCAAGCAGCCACATACCAAACCCTCTAAAAGCATGAGCCAAATCCAACCCTTCTTCCTCTTCAGTTGTTTCTAAAGGGGACTCCCACACATCGGAGGCTCCCTCCCAGACCTGGGATTAGGCACAAACCACATCCAAGCCCTGGGATTAGGCACAAACCACATCTCTGTTTTCACAGAGAGATCCTTTATTAAGCAGGGAAGAAAAGTTAAAGTGGCTGCTTTCTGACTCAGGCAGAAAACCAGCAGCAAATGACCTTGCAGGTGTCATTCTTAAGGAGAGAAAAAGGAGAGGTCTGGGTTAGAGTAGACTAGGGTGTGGTTGTGGTTGTAAAGGAGATAGGAGATGAGGGAGAAGAGGAAGAGGACAAGGGAGAGGGGAAGGGGTATTTGTCCAGGAGAGACAAAGGACTGCCTGTGGATAGAGAGGAGACAGATGTGGCACACAGATAAAAGGTAAAGGGAGGAAGCCCCATGTTAGGATGAGGTGTTTAATTTCAATTGGGCATGTTTATTAGGCGAGCTAAAGGGGGCTTCTGATTGCTGGACTTTGGTAGTCAGCCTCAGGAGGAAGAAGTGACCAAATAAGGGAATAGACCTTGGGGGCTAGCTTTAGGAATGTAGTCTAATGGTTTTTGTCAAGGCAGAGGGGATGGGGAGAAGGCCTGCCAGAGCCACATGTTCAAGTAGGCTAGGGTTCCTTCAGTGTCTGTCAGACATTCCGTCACAGTGACAAAAACCAAACCACACCAAACCCCAAACCAAAAACCAAAAAATAAAACCTAACTAATGCAGTATCCACTTCTATCAAGAGGACATAGGTTCAGCCAAGATTAAGATTTGAAAAGAAAAAGACAGAGAACCAATGGGAAAATGGGAGACCCCTGTGGCTAATGGGGATTCCAGTGGCAGAGTGTGGACATGGCCGGCAGCTGGGGATTCAATTGGAAGTGGTCATTGTTCTCCACGTGAGCATTTTCCTTTCTGCTGCCATTGGCTTCGGTATCTTGTGTGGAAGGAGCATTCTCGGAGCATGTATGGTGTGCCAGGTTTGGGGTGCATCTTTACAACTCCATGCCATCAATCCTATGACAAACACACACGATGAGGTGGGGAGAGGAAGTCAGTGTTAAGGATGATGGAATCAAGGTACAACAAGCAAAAAAAAAAAAAAAAAGTCCATAGTCATGAATCTGGTGTGTGGTAGTGTGATGATATTGTGTCCCCCAATATATTGTGCACCTCAATAAACTTATCTGGGTCAGAGAACAGAATAGTCACTAGATATAGAAGTCAGAAAATAGTGGCACACTCACCTTCAATCCTAGCATTCCAGAGGCAGAAATCCGTTTGGATCTCTGAGTTTAAAGCCACGCTGGAAACATCTAGGCATGGTGACACATGCCTTTAATCCTAGGAAGTGATGGTAGGAAGCAGAAAGGTATATAAGGCGTGAGGACCAGGAACTAGAGCCTGGGTAAGCTTTTAGGTGTTTGAACAGCAGTTCAGCTGAGATCCATTTGGACGAGGACTTAGAGACTTCCAGTTTGAGAAAAACGAGATCACCTGAGGAACTGGTGAGTCGAGGTTAGCTGTGGCTGGTTCTGTTTCTCTGATCTTTCAGCGTTCACCCCAATAACTGGCTCCGGGTTTGTTCTTATTAATAAGACATTTTAAGATTTGTGCTACATGGTAGAACTGGGTTTGCCAGCCTCATCTGAGTCACCCAGTGTTTATGATCTTCCTGTTTCTTTTCGACGACAGCCTGCCATTGCAAGGAGAAGAGCTGCTCCCTTCTTTTGGAAAGAGACTGGAGTTTACATCGATGCAAGCCATGACTTCATTAACTGTGACTAAGTGAAGAGGACCTTTCCATGCCTGCATGCAGGACAAGGGTACTTACTCTTCAGATACCACAGAAGGAAGTGTGGCAACTACCATCAAGAGTGTGGCCTCCTCGATAGCCCCTCTGCCATGGAGCTTACACAGAGACAAAGAAACAGCATGACTAGACTCTTAGGGGAAGTGATAGGATCCAAATTGTAGTTCTCCCTAATAAGAAACAAAGGCGATTAGAAATGAAGCTGTCCTTTAAAAACATGACTTTGAGACTTGCATTCTCCCTTTCTCTTTTGCCCTTGGAGGCAACCGAGAGAGACTGTCATGCATGCTGACAAGTTCTGTACTGCCAAGTCACACACTCAACCCCAAGAACTTAAAATCTTTAAGGATTTTTTTTTTTGCCAAGTCATTGTCATTATTCATAATAAGTAGCAATAAAGAAAAGGAAGAGACAGTTAAAATTACAGAGAAGGCCATTTCCCTTAATGGTGACATCTTGTAGAGCTATTTTGAGATGTCAGAACAGGAAGCTGCAATTGGTGCCGTCACATAGCTAGTCATTGCTTTACACGAACTCTGTTGTGTGTACAGTTCTATGCAGCTTATCCCATGGGGAACTGTGTGATGAACAGCACAGTTCGGATATGGAATATTAAGACAGTCGTGGTAGTTCAGGTCTGTAATCCAGTATGCAGGAGGCTGAGGCAGGAGGACTGCTTCAAGTCTGAGGCCAATCTGGGTTATATAGTGACTTCTGGGGTAGCCAAGGCTACAGAGTGAAACCTTGTCTCAAAAAAAAAAAAAAAAAAAACCAAAAAAATCAACCAACTTACCAGCTAAGCAACCAACCCCAAACAACTCCCACAATTCCTAAAACCAAAACATGGAATTTTTTCAATACCAGAAGCCTCTCCCTTACTCCTCATCTATAGCCTTTGACAACCTTGATTTCTATCTCTCTAATATTGCCATTTAAAGAGTATTCTAAAAATGCAGTCATAGGTCTTTAGCTTCATTGGGACTTTTTTTTTCCTCCAACGAGCACAGTGCCCTGAAGATGCATTGACCTGTTGTGTGTGTGTGTAGTTCCATCTCTTTTGATGCAGGCAATGTTCCATGATATGACTATGACACTCTTTAGCCATGCTATGAAGGACATTTGCCAGGTTCTGTTAGTAAGGTTGCTACAAATATTCATGTACATGTGTGAGTGTGTGTGCGCATGTGTTTGTATATGTGTGTGTATGTTTGTGCATGTGTGTGGGTGTATATGTATGTTGTGTGTGTGTATGTATATATGTGTGTAAATTTATATGTGTATGTGAGAGTGTGTGTATATGTGTGTATGCACAAGTGTGTATATGGGTGTTTGTGTGTGTGTGCATGTGCATGCACACACACAGCACAGGCTATATATCCCTTCTCTCTGGGGTAACTTTGCAATATTGTATCTTATAGTAAGTGCATGGTCTGCACCAAAACTCTTTTCCAGAGTGCCTATAAGTCTCACTGCAGTGGGATGTCTTTCTGTATGCTGTGAATATGTGTTGCTCCCATTGGCTATAAATAAAGCTACTTTGGTGTATGGTAAGCAGCTTATAGGCAGGCAGGAAATCCAAGACAGAGACAGGAAAAGCAGAGGCAGAGACAGAGAGATGCCAGCTGCCTCCAAAGGAGCAAGAACCCCGCAGACTGGTAATGCCATAGCCACATGGCAACTTATAGATTAATAGGAATGGGTTGAATAAAGTTGAAAGAGGTAGCTAACATAAGCTGACACATAGGCCATACAGTTTGTAAATAATATCAAGCCTCTGAGTGATTATTTTATAAGCAGCTATGGGTCTGCGGGTGAGAGAGATTTGTCCTGACTGCGGGCCGGGCAGGATGCAGGAAATCTTCCGACTACATCTCCTGTTCCCTTAGCACTGTGTACCACACAGTTGTCTCCACTGTTTGCATGGCCTTTTGTGTAGGTGTGCAGAGACCATTTGCAGTTCCCTGATGTCTGAAGCTAGCCCGAGTGTTCACTTGTGTTAATCTGCTGTTCATGTATCCTCTGCAGTCAGATGTCTGTTCATGTATTTTACCCATTTGATAGCTATAGTTTGTACAGTTTTTGACTCTTGAGAATTCTTTGTATATTTTACTCACTAGGCCTTCACTGAATATGTTATTTGAAAAAAATTAAGCTATCCTGGCTTGTTTTGTCATCTTCTTCCCAGTTTCTTCTCTCAGGGTAAAACTTTCCAACCTTAAAAAGGCTTAATTTAGATATTTTTTATTTTTATGAATTGTGCTTTTGATATCAACTGAAACGATTATTTTCAAAAGATGGTAGGAGTTGGCTGGGACTGGTGTTATAAAAAGAACTTGTGGGTCAAGTACAAAACACTTAAAGGTTAAATGGTCCCTTCATTCTGTACGGGCAAAGGATGGTCTCCTGCCTTGTTTGAGCAGCAGTGGTCAGGGGACTTCCAAGTTGAGTCCTCCACGTGCTGTTGACATCTGTAAAGGAGGCAGGGATAGGCATTACATGTCAGTTATGAAGGCACAGAATGAACCTGAAAGAGCCCAGAGCTATCTGTGAGAATTAATGAAAGTCTTCCCCTGGCCTATTCAAAGAACCCAGCTCATTTCACATGAGATAAATTTCAAGACCTTGTCACCCTGGCTCCCAGAGGAGGACACTTCTATGATTGATCACTGCTTGCCCCTGGGAGCTTAAGATGTGGCAGAGGAGACCTGTCTGGCTGACGGATGACTTGTGGCCCCACTGCTGACCTTGCTGCAAGGCTGCTCTTCAAGGAGCAGGACAGAGGAGAGATGAAACCACTACCCAAAGGAAGGGCTGGAGCATGTCACACAGCAGAGAGTGCCTTAACAACTACTGCTGGGTTAAAGCCAACACTAGTTAACAATCTCGTTGACAGGACTTAAGCAAAAGGCTATTGCTTAACCTTGCTGCATTTAGTCATTGTTATTGTTGATGGTTTTGAGGGAGGGCACTGGAAGGTGAAGGTTGAGGCTGTGGGTAGGGTGGGGGACTGTATTACCAAGAAGAAAGGAATTCTAAGTGTGAGAAATGATAAGGTCTGCCAGAATCACAGTCTAGGAACTGATGTTAGGACAATGTGTGATTTCATGCTTGTACCTATGGTCTTTGTAACTACTGAGATTAATGTGAACAAACCAGAAAGAGATGGATTTCATTCTCTATATAGCCCAGGTTGGCCTCAAATTCAATGAAATCCTCTTACCTTAGTGTGGTGGTTTGGGTGAGAATGGCCCCCATAGGCTTTTAGATTTGAGTACTTGGTCACTGGGGAGTGGCACTCTTTGAGGTGTGGCCTTGTTGGAGGAAGTGTGTCACTGGGGTGGGTTTTGAGGTTTCAAAAAGCCCATCCAATCACAGAGTTATTATTCTCTTCTATCTTCCTGGGGATCTGGATGTAGAACTCTCAGCTACCTCTCCAGTACCATGTCTGCTTGCATGCTGCCATGCTTCTCACCATGATGAAAATGGACTAAACTTCTGCAACTGTAAGCCAGGCCCAGTTAAATGCTTTTCTTTATAAGAGTTGCTGTGATCATGGTGTCTCTTCACAGCAATAGAACACTGACTAAGACACTCAGCCTCCCACATACTAAAATTATCGACCTGAGCCAATACAGTTGGATTGTTTTTGCTTTTGTTTTTTAAAGACACTATCAGTATATTGCCAAGGCTGATCTTGAACTTGCTGACCCTGTTGCCTCAGCCTCATGATAGGATTACAGCCATGCACCACCATGCTAAGCCTCTGTTGCTTCTTTGAACTTATTTACTGCAACTGGTTCTCTGACTGCTCTATAAGAACTCAGGCACTCCCTTGACTTTTCAAGTCATTCTTGAATAATACAAAATAGAAAATATAAATAAAATGTCCACTCCCTTGAAATAACTAGTATGCTGATTTTAGATTCTAACTCACACTTAAGACTTTGCCACCTCCCCCATCCCCAGCCCAGTGCATCAGGGAGACCTGCTGTAGAGAAAGGAGGTTGTGGATCTGGGTAGCTGTTATTGCTGATGATTCCAGGTAGGGGATGAGAAGGCAGAAGCGGGTACTTAACATGGAAGCTGGCTTTAAGCAATCCCAGCATGACAGGTTCTAAAAATAGTCTCTCTCTCTCTCTCTCTCTCTCTCTCTCTCTCTCTCTCTCTCTCTCTCTCAGGATGCTCCTCTTGATTCTTTGGAGGTTCTTCACTTCCCATTCCTGTTACCCCTCTTGCAATCAGAGCCATTGGTATCTTCTGGTCACCTGTTCCACAGCCCTTGGAAACTGACAACAGCCTCAGATGTCTAGGTCAGTAGTTCTCCATGAAGGTGAGTTTGTCTCCCTGGGGACATTTAGCAATGCCTTCGTATCTATGAAGTGCTACTGGTATCTACTAGGCTGAGGTCAGAGATGCTGCTAAAAGCCTGGTGTGCTGCACAGCATAGTTCACCACAACAAATAGTTATCTACCTTGAGACTACTAGGGAAAGGTAAGGGGATGGGGAGAGAGTAATAGAGGTTGCTGGGATCAAAGCATGATATATGCAGGTATGAGAATCTATTAATCTGTATAGTTAATATGCACTTATAATCACAATTAAAGAGCAATAAAAATAATTCTCAGCCAATTGTGGCAAAAAAGTTGCACGCCTTAACTCTTGAGCCAGGAAAACTCTCATGTATCTTTTGCTCTAACAAATCCTGGGCTTGCATATGGGCATTGCTGATGTCCTAGTCCTTCAGCTTGCATGTTGAAAGCTGGCTGACACATCTCTTGCCTATCTCCCTCATGCTGGAGTTCTCTGAGTGGGCCTACTGAAATCCTTCTTCCTCTGTTTAGGGCTGGTGTTATTCTACAACTAATACAATACAACAACTCTCTCCAAAGAATCTCTCTTCTTCCTCCACTTGTATTCCCTGGGTGGTAGGTTTATGACTTACCTAACTGATTATTATAAAACCTCTCAGCGACTTGTTGCCACCATAATCTGGTGTAAAAAATCAGCACAGGACCTCTGGGGTCTACAATGTGTATTTGTTGATGTGTGTTTGGCATGACTGACTTGGGTTCTACTGGCCTGAGCTTGTCCTTGTGTATGGAATCAATGGCCACTTTCTAAACCAGGATGGTTTTGGTGAATATGCTGGTTAGTTTTTTTTTTTTTTTTGTCAGTTTGACACAAACTAGAGTCATCTGAGAAGAGGGAACCTCAACTGAGATTGGCTTGTGGGCAAGCCTATAGAGCATTTTCTTGGCTGATGAGATAAGCAAGGGCCCAACCCACTATTGGCAGTGCCATTCCTGAGGTGATGGTCCTCCATGTAAAAGCAAGCTGAGCAAGCCAGGAGGAGCAAGCCAGTTAGCAGCATTCTTCCTTGGCCTCTGCATCAGTTCCTGCCTTGAGTTTCTGCCCTGACTTCCTTCAGTGATGGACTGGATGTGAAAGTGTAAGTCAGGTAAACCCTTTCCTCTCCAACTTACTTTGGTCATGATGTTTTATCAGAGCAATAGAGAGCAAACCAAGACAGTGGGATGATGGCTGTATGTGTCTTTCCTTCTCCAGAAGGTTTGCTGGGGAGCGTTCTCTAGCAAACAGAGGAACAAGATCACAAGTGAGTGTATTCATGCAGACGTTCTTTACGGTTCCGCTTTTGTCATGCCTGTGGCGTTTTGCTAATTAATATCTTGCTCACCAAAGCAATTCACATGGTGGGGTCTAGCGATCTGGACATAGAGAGAGGCAGGGCACTGCTTGGGAGAAGGGGTGAAATTTTGGTGTCTTTGGTGCAAGAAGTTTATCGACTTTCTTAAACCTGTAACACATGTACTCAAGGATTTGGCAAAAAAAGTCTTAGCTTCAAGGCTCAACTAAAATGCAAGCAAGAAAATTCTCAGAGGGCTTCAGTCATTAGCCCTCCAAAATGTGAGCTAGGCACCTTCTGGAAAAGACAAGAAGCTTCTGGCCTGCAGTAGAAGTATGTCTCTGCATGGCAGTGTCTTCTTCCCCAGGGCTCTATCTCTCTGCCTTGGAAACTACTGTGTCCCATCTGTCCAGACACAGGCATTGCTTGTTCAACTATAGTCATTACCCAAGGGCAGGAATCCTGATTTCCTTTACAATGGAAAGAAAGGAGGCTAGCAAAGGACCCAATCCAGCTATGAGAGGGGATGGGAAGTGGGCAGTTCTTCTGAGTTCATATGGGCAGCAGGACTGAAAGTAATGCACACCAGGAGTTTGGAACTCTTGTCTGCCTTCCCAAATATCACAAAGGCAGACCTTTATTGCCATATTGCATCTAAGGCATGATGTAAGTGACTTACCAGCTTGATGATTTTTGTTTTTTCTAAGGAAAGCTTAGGAATGGGTGATCCTTGTGTAACTGAGGAAAGTGGGTGGGGCTTAGAGAAAGGCTTATGGAGCAAATGTCATGGGGCTGGTAACTAGCAATGGGGAAAAAATGAATCCAGTTCTCGTATTTTGAGTTTGGATTTGGAATACAAATCTCAAGCCAATTCTTCCTGCCCTGAAACCCTCCACCACCTCCTGACTCTTTCCCTCCCTCCCTTTCTTTTTTTTTTTTTTTGGTTTTTTTTGAGACAGGGTTTCTCTGTGTAGCTTTGCGCCTTTCCTGGAACTCACTTGGTAGTCCAGGCTGGCCTCGAACTCACAGAGATCCACCTGGCTCTGCCTCCCGAGTGCTGGGATTAAAGGCGTGCGCCACCACCGCCCGGCTCCCTCCCTTTCTTTATCCCTTTTCACCAAAGAAGTTGGCTGATTCATTTAAAGCACTGAGCAAGGTCCATCTGTTCAAATACTGGCCCTCTACCCCATACCTGCATCACTCAGAGACGTGTTTTCTTTGCCCCCTTTGGACCACTTAATTACATTCTCCCTTCTTTAGGAGGAAAGCTGACATGTAATTATTTTCATGATTAACACTCCTGTGCAGCTAATTGTAATTATGCCTTATAATCACAGTTATGATCGTCAATTACTCATTCCTGCCTCATTTGAATGTTTTTCTTTATCCTAGTTTCACCGAGTTGATGGAGCTAATGTTCCCACTTATGAGCATGCGCCCCGCCCCTACTTATGAACACCCTCCCCCAACAGAGTTTTCAACCATGTCATTACTTTGGCCTTTTCTGTCCTTACCTTTCTTATTGTTCCACATTCCATCATGGCTCCTCACTGGCCCCTGTTTCTCATTGCTGGATGGGCTCCTCGACGCCCCTTCTGTCCCCCTGTTGGTGAGAGGAGCTAGGATTTTGGGGATGTATGAACCCATGATGCCTGTGTGTGGACAGATGGGTGAGAACGGTTTTCAAGTAACAGATATTCACAGCTCTGGGGAAGAGGACAACGTGGCACAGAGTCACACAGGAGATGTGCTCAGGAACAGATCAGAAAACCTAGGGCTGTGGGCAGTAGGTGCTGTAGGATTTAGAGGGTGGGATGTCCCTTGGTTCCTACTGAAAAAAGTGATTAGATTGCTGAACAATTCTATTGAGTTGACAGGGAACTAGACCTGGCTACTCTGAGTTAAGCAGGAACTGAGCCTCATGCTCATGATATAGAGGGTTGTTTGATTATGAGTCCCCTGTAGAAGTGGGGACAGGAACTTGCACTTTGACCATTTGAGGATTTCACCTGATATCAAGATAGTATAGAGTACCATGCTGCTCTTATGTTGGAACAGTGCTTCCAAGTTAGGAGTTTCTATATTAACCACTATCTATTGCAATAAAGTTTCCCTGACCTAGGTTATGAGCCTCTGTTGATTTGAATAAGAACACCTCCCCTTATAAGCTCATATATTTCAAAGGTTAGTTACCAGGGAGTGGAACTTGTAATGTGAATCTTATAAGGTCTTATTAATAAAAACCCAGAGCCAGATATAGGGGTGAAAACCTGAGAGATCAGAGGAACAGGAAAAGCCACAAGCTAACCTCATCTTATTGACACCTCAGTCTCCAAAGAGACCTACTTCCTGTGTACCCCACCTATATGCATTTCTCTTCTGCTATCTCATTTGCTCTGTCTGTCCAGCTACATCACTTCCTCTTCCTGCCCAGCTCTGTCACTTCCTGTCTGTCTGTACAGACCTCCAGACCTCCATAGTTAACTAGTGTTGGAATTTAAGGCATGTGCCACCACATCTGGCTCTGTTCCCAGTGTGGCCTTGAACTCACAGAGATCCAGACAGATCCCTGCCTCCTGAGTAATAGGATTAAAGGCATGTGCTACCATTACCTGACCTCTATGTTTAATATAGTGGCTAGCTTTTTGGTCTGATCCTCAGATAAATTTTATTGGGGGACACAGATAAGATATCACCATAGGAACTGGTGGGAAGGATTACAAGGAATAGGTGTGGCCTTGCTGGAATAGGTGTGGTCTTGTTGGAGGAAGTGTGTGACTGGGGATTGGGCTTTGAGGCTTCAAATGCCCATGCCAGGACTGGAGTCTTTCTCTCCCTGCCTGAAGATCAGGATGTAAAACTTGCAACTACCTCTCTGGCACCTTTCTGCATGCTGCATGCTGTTCTGCACGCTGCCATGCTGTTCTGCATGCTGTCATGCTACCTGCCGTGATGATAAAGGACTAATGCTCTGAAAATGTGAGCAAGCCCCCAATTAAGTGCTTTCTTTTATAAGAGTTACCTTGGTCACGATATCTCATCACAGCAATAGAAGAGTGACTATGACAGAGCCACACAAAATTTGGGGCATTAACGAAGAAGTAATCAGAAGGCAATCTGATAACCATTAACCAAACAAAAGCTTTAGGTTCTGTGCTAGTGCCCATGACCCCCTTAGTTTATAGTACCAGGCATGAATTCCCTCCTGTGGAGCAGGCCCCAAATCCAATCAGAAAGTAGTTGGTTACCCCCATAACGTTCATTCCACTGTTGAACCAGTGGGCACATCTTGCCTGGCATGTCAGTATTATAGCATGGAGGGAGCAGTGTTGGGTTAAGACCACCGATAGCTTTTCTTCTCAGAAGCCTATGGTGCTAGCCATCAGTGAGAGTTTCTTGCTCAGCTCCAGGTTGATTTCTTTATGTCCTGAAGAAAAAGTGTGTGATTTTTGAGTGCCCCTGGGTCCTCCCCCACCAAGACCTCACAGGGAGGTAAGAGGTATTTGGTATTGAGATTTTCATTTAATAACCCATGTCCACCCATGTGGGTAACTCTCTTCAAACTCTCGTTGTAAAAAACGGTCTGTTTTTAATTAGCTTGTAACAAGACAACATGTCTCCTTCAAAGATGACCAACCCTGCAGTAATGGCCCCCAGTGAGAAAG